GACATGACGCTCCAATTGAATTTCACATAACCTTGCTTTTTTAAAAGTCGTTCTCGTCCAGCGTGGGCTGCGGTTTCGACCTAAGCAACACCCTTTGCGGGAGTCGAACCTTGACCGTGCCGAGTATGGTCTCGACACGTTTAACATTACACCACACTGCCACGAGTGCCCTTGCGTCAAAGGCAGATGTGAACTTCAAGAAGGACTAGGCATTTTCCTATATCACATATTGTAGTCGGATTGCCGATGAAGCTATATTTGCTATAGTAATAGACAACGTTACGTAATTTTCGTGGGTGTTCGAGTCTACTAGTACATTATATACATGAGATATGTTTATCCTATTTCACTTATGGTGATTAGGAGACTGGTAGTTAAAAGTCTATGAAGACGTCAAGTCTACTCGCGTGATTGTGGAAAAGTTAAACAGTCAGTCACCTTATCATCTTAAACGAAATAGGATGAACATATATCATATAAGTGATCTATTGGCAGTCTCGAAAGCCTACTTATAAAACGAAAAATAAGTACAATAAATTTATGAACACGATCATTTTGAGTGCAGCTAGTATGTCATTGTGCTGTAGAACTCGTGTGACTTATATGAGCTTTCCTAATTTAAATTTTTTTAAAGGATTATTGAGGCAACAAACTTACACAAACAACTTAAACTATACAAACTGACTTCCAGTAGGTCTATCAATTGAATCTTTAAAGTAAGGAAATAATCAAATTATTGACATAAAATAAATTTAATTCCAAGAATGTCCTATTTAGTAAGGATTCTTCGAGCGAAAGTATCTCTTGGATACGCGAAATAAAAAATGTCAATATATTAAAGTCCTGTCTTCCATCGCAAAGTCAGGATGCCACTCTTACCATCGATCCCTTACAGGCATAAGATGGATCAATATATGAAAAGTTGAGTCAAAATGCATTTTATTCATGTCATATTTCGCTTCTTCGATTTTTGAATAAAAGTATTTTAACCCTCATAGCTTATATTATATGGTCCTTAAGTTATTCAAACTTTGTTAGATTAGCCTCAGTTCAATTGACTAGAAGAATGTGTATTTGTACTTACCTGAGCATCTGAGGTGGGGAGCATCGCAAATTGCCAAGGATCTCCTCCCCATCCCACTTTTATTTTCAGAGTTATTTGTCATATAGTTATACGAGTTATTCTGAGATGAATATATATTTAATATATTTGAGGACTGTGAAAAAAATTGCCTCATTTTAATTAATAACAATATGACCTTTTCGTTTCTTAGTACTCTATTATTTGAATCGCATTCAAAGTGCAATTCTTTCACGCTCCTGATAACAACGGCATTAGTGGAAAGGCTACATTTAGCTGAAATAAATTAAGTTAAACTAACAGATGGATAAGGCAAACCATACCTTGTAGCTCTGTTTGGACTCACCATTTCTGTATAATCTTCTTTGATTTTCCTAGGAACCGAGCAGAACTCTTCGAAATCAGGGATAAAACTCTTTTCCAGTGGGACATTCGCCATGGCCAATTGGATGACTCTATCTTCGGACACTTGCTAGTTATAAGAAATATATCAGAGAAACGAAATTTTCAAACAAAATTGAGTTAATTTGGGTTAACTCTAATTAGGTCTAAAAATGTAAAGTTATGATCTTTTTATTTTAAATAAATCGTCACAGCCTTTTACTATAATATACCAAATAATATCTACACTATATTTCATTTGTAAGTAGGTTTTCTAGGATGAATACACCTGACAAATATCTAAAATATTTCTAGGGAAAGAATTAGCTAAATATTTGCTGCTTTAATAGTATTATGAGATGCATTCACACAATTTCGTTTTAGGTGATAAAGGACTGGTAGAAGAAGAATTTTCCCACAATGATATGAGTAGAGCAGACTTTTTCATTCAATTTGACATAAGATTGCTTTTCCAATATTGTTGTCATCCAGAGTGGACTGCGGTTTCGACCTCGCATCGGTCTTATCAACACCCTCAGC